GTCAGAGTACCCCAGAGTACCTCAGCCGCCCGACGCCACAGTCACTGATGGACTCCTGGGGGCGTCAGAGTACCCCAGAGTCCATCAGTCGCTCAACGCCACAGTCACGGATGGGCTCCTGGGGGCGTCAGAGTACCCTAGAGCACCTTAGCCGCCCGACGCCACAGTCACTGATGGACTCCTGGGGGCGTCAGAGTACCCTAGAGTACCTCAGCCGCCCGACGCCACAGTCACGGATGGGCTCCTGGGGGCGTCAGAGTACCCCAGAGTCCATCAGTCGCTCAACGCCACAGTCACGGATGGGCTCCTGGGGGCGTCAGAGTACCTCAGAGTACCTCAGCCGCCCGACGCCACAGTCACGAAAAAGAGAAGACTAATGACGTAGCGCATTGCACTTTGATAAAACACGGCAGAGCCTGCGGAGCGCAGTAAACCCGCCGGAGAGAGGAGCAAAGAGCGATAGACAGCTCATAGAAGCGCAAATCATCTTTCGTGCTTGGTCAGTCTGACCCAAATCAATTGCACTTCGTGATTTGAAACAAGTTTTCGGAAGTAAGATGAGTTGAGTTACTTATGATTCGTTTGTGTCACAGCCAATCCAAGTAGGACGTACATTTTGTTTAATGTACACAGTAAAACTAGGCTGCTCTCTAAAACGGTGCTGTTGTTTTTTTCTCATTTTCTGTGTTCGCATCGGATGACGGAACGTCCGAAAGAATGTGCTTCTTGCGCGTCTTATCCGATTCTAGCAACCGGCTGAAAAAATGTCGTGTCTGGTGTGTATGTGAAATGCTTTCCATTGCGCTTCCATCGCGCCTTTACTGATCTATTATGCGGCTTTTGCTAATTTATCGTGTTCGCCATACGTTGCAAATTTATGCTATTTGTCATACTTTGTTGTCTTACGCACCTTTTGGAGACGTGGCATGCCGGTGTGGTGCTCAAATATTTTTTTCTCTCGAATATATTGAAACATAACCTTTATCAGGTCAGTGACAAAAACAGGCATACATTTTCGGCATAACCAAAAACTTCAACGCACCACGACAGTGTCGTGTTTATTTGCCATCTTGGCTAACCAAAGGCCCAAAATCTGTTGTGACGACAGTCATCCACCGACCGGCCATCAGCTGCAGCACTTCATTTCATCTAACAGTCACATCTGATATAGTCGATGGAGAACTATGACGTCTGACTTCTAGCAGCTCAGAAGCCGCCAGTGGGAGACCCCTAACACCTCGCACGTCCTCAATCGGTGTGGTGATAGGAAGGTTGCCGTAACGTTTTGGCCCGGACGGGAACCCCGGGCTGTAGTGCGGTGCAAGTGAACCGGTCCCATGCGGCTAGTCCCATGCGGCATGCGGTCCCATGCGGCATTGGCCGACTCGATTTGCTCCGAGTATCGTGGCGATATTACGCCTTCCTTTCCTCCGAGCCCCTCGGCAGTACTGGTCTGCGATCTGTGCTGTCAGACGGAGTGTGAGCGATTCTAATGGCGTACATATGTTGATAAACTTCAAAATTGTAATGCGCTGTAGGATTCTAATTAACTTCAAGATTTTACCCTACCCAGTCTTGACCTCGGATCGCCTTCACAATGGCCTCAGCCTTAGCGGTTGAGCATTGGCCGACTTCAGCAGCATAGCCGCCCACTTCAGAGCGCCTTCGCGCCTTCAGAACCACAAGGGAAGAATATTTGGTTAGCACAATAGTGCGTTGACGTAAACATTTTTGACCTTGTCGAAAATACATGCACAGCGCCGATTTTTATGAGTTTTACCATGCCCCAGTTACTTATTGGTGAAATGCAGGATGGGCCACAGCTTACGGCTGTACAATCGTCATCACCATGTGCTAAAGACTTGGCAGGCATCGACAATACTGGAGGAGATGCGCCATGTGGGCTGGTTTGGGTAAATCCACGCCTCATTTAGATTCACCAGTAAGGAGTAAAAACACCGTTGACCAAACAGCATCACGACTAGTCGTATATTGGGTGTACCAATGCAGATATACTACGTTGCGACAGTGTAATTGACATATACAAGCGGTTGTGCAAATAAATCACGGCGACAAAAGTACGGAGACTAACCGTCACACATGTGATTCATATGCCTGAACTAAAAAGGCAGTCATTGTCTCACCACCCTTTAAGTGATTGCACACGGTGGACGCAGACATACAGACGGGATCAGTTTGCCCCGCCCTCGTCACCAGCAGAACGGCGGACTTCGGCGCGTCTCCCCTCATCACTGTTCGCCAACATCGGTTTGCTCGTCTGGAAACCCAACATGACATAGAACTATACCGCACTGATGTCCACGCTGATAAGTAACCAGCACCACTAACAGCTTCTGCTCAAATAGTGCATACCAACACTTGTCGGACTGAGTTGCTAATTGCTAGCGGACGGAAGGCGTGCTAATCAGCTGCATCGTTTGCTTTCACCACCCCCAAACGCAGTCGTTTTACGGAAGGACCGAGACGAGGCATCAACACCGCGTAGGGAGTAATTGTCCGAGCTGTTGTCCTCGCCTGGGGTGCTAGGATTTGCGTAGCGTTTCGACCAGTCCGCTCTCCGGCCTCCGTTAGGTGTTATGAAGTCCTGACAATGACGTTTGGCTGCCAGTCATGCACGAGTCACAGTCCAAACTCTCGCCTTGGAATAGCTGGGATTCGACTCAGAGTCTTCTGATGGAGAGGCCAGTGCTCTACGAACTGAACTAGCCGGGAAAGACAAGCAGGGGACATGTCCTTTCCGGTTAGCTCAGCTTGAAGTGCACTGGACTATATTAGACGACCCTGGTTCGAATCCCACCAATGGTAAGGAACAAATTTGGTGTGTGACCCGTACATGGCTTAAAGCCAGTCATCCTCCACTCCTTATCAGGACTCCATAACACCTGTGGGCGGTAGCAGAGTTAACAGGCGGAAGCCTTGTGTAAAAACTAACGCCAGGCGAGCACAATGGCCGCATAATATTCAAAGCCGTGTGGTGAGAGACGGGCCATGCCGCCTCCCGATGGCCGGGGGGGGGGGGGGGGCAAAGTCCCCTTATTCGCAAATCTGGCTACGAACATATCATCCCTCATCCCGAGAAGCTCATACCGAGAATATTACACAAATCACCAACTTGCCCCCAGATGAATTGAAACGAATCCCACTTGATCCCAGGCCCTATAACCAGCACCTGCCATATCTCGAAGAACCGTGCACATGCCCTGCATCTGCCTCCATCGGCCTGCAGTCGCCGGGAGCATCATCACTTTTTCCAGCATTAGGGACCTCTGAGAGCTCGTCCACTGGCATGCGTGCATCCATGCATGTGAAATTTCTACCAAAAGCGTGGGCTCGTGCTTGAATATCGCGAAATAAGCCGCACCGTTCGAGGTGGGTGTGATACAAACCCCATCGGCGTGGACGTGGAACACATTAAAACGACGAGCGTTGGCGCACCTGGGCTTGGAACACTCTTCCGGGCCTTCATTGCGCACATTAAAAATTCATTTTCGTGGAGTGTCACCGACCAGATATTCATCAACCTCGGCATGACTTATTTTACCAGAAATGTTGATAGATCGCAAAATTACGAAGGCGCATGACACTCAAGGGTACTTGATTAGAAATCACAGTCTGAACGAGCTTGCCATTGCTCGAGGCATGGTGCGCTGAGAGCCTTAAGATCCCATTTAAAGGAAAATACCGTCAATGTCTCCGTCGGCCGAGACGTCGGAGGGCGGGCCGATGACATCGCCTCAAAAATGTCCCGACATGTGCGAAATGGACTCGTCCAAGCGACCATGACGTCAGTGGTTCAGCTGCACAGCCAATGAGCGAGCTCTCATAGTCTCCTAATACTTAAAAATAACGGCTATTGCCGTCATAGCATTGGACCAAAAGAACACGCGGACAGGCTAGCAAAAACCAGTATTCCTGGACGAGCAGCTGCGAACTAGTACCTCAGTACACGAACAAATTATGCATAATCCAAGAAAACGTATGGTTTCAATAAACGAAAGGAAAATGTGCGCTTGCTATAAGCAAAGGTACTTGGCCTTTGTATGTTGGTATCATTTAAAAACATTCTTTCTGCGTTAAGTACCAAACCGCAACAGAAACAGCGCCTCAGTGGCGCTAGTCCATCTATTCTTTTCAGTACTGTATGCCACTAAATTCAAAGCCAATTCTAATGAACATTCATTTCGCCCTATCTGGCGCAACAGCTTGGTGTTCCCCCATATGGAATGTTGTGAGTTTCGAACAGCATCATTTGCATTGTTAACGGATGTAATGATTCTTCGGACTGACATCGTCTTATGGTAAGTTAGTATACACACCTCTAACTTCTACCCGCAAGGTGTGGATACTCGCATAACGTATGAAGGCGACATTCGAGCGATGTTTCTATATATGATGCTGCCATCATATCTCAACCACCCAGTAAAAATAGCTTCGTTAAGTTTTGATTCTTAGAAAGACTTCAGTATGCCTGTTTCTCAGGAATTAGTGTTAACTTCGTTGCTCTAAAACCTATCACATGAAGTTATATCTGCTAGCATTGACGAACTGACGGTGAAGATCGATAACAAAGTACAGTATCCTGGGAAGATCTGTAGGTTTGATGATTTGACGTCACTGAGGAATGTTGGTTGCCTTACGTTTGAGCTGGGCTTCCTATGTCGCTAGTCTTTTGAAGGTTTTCGCACGGTCAGGTATTGCAAAAGATCATAAAACCAAAGCTCACTATAAAGCCGAGACCTTCCTCAAGCACTAGTCGACAGTATCGGCGGTCTTTCTCAGCGCTACGCATGTGCACAGATTTGCGTGACAGCAGGGCAGCACACGTACCCGTGACAGCACAGCTGATGCCAGCGGTCGCCGAAGCACCTGGAACTACCGGCCTCAACAGCCGTGCTACAAGCGGGACGGCCCTGGCGCCAACGGCCGTCGCTGCAGAGGCTACCGGGGTGGCACGGGCAGAGACCGCCCTTGCAGCCTGTCTACTCGGAGCTGGTGAAATGCTCGGAGGCCTGACGGGTCAGGTGGAGCTGTTTCAGGCAGCGGATGCCGGCAGGCGCCTTGGCGAGCGGCTCCGCCTGGTCTGTACCCAGATGGCTCCGGATGTAAACGCGCCACCAGCCGCTGCGGGTACTCCTGCCACTCCATCAGCAGCTGCTTGTCTGTCTTGACCTGCGGCGGACGGGAAGCGCACGCTCAACGGGACGGCAACTGCCCGCTCGGCTGCAAGTGGTACTGCACTGTCAACCGGATGGGAACTGCCCGCTCAACCGGATGGGAACTGCACTGTCAACCGGATGGGAACTGCACGCTCAACCGGACGGGAACTGCCCGCTCGACCGCAAATGGCACTGCATTGTCAACCGGATGGGAACTGCACGCTCAACCGGACGGGAACTGCCCGCTCGACCGCAAATGGCACTGCATTGTCAACCGGATGGGAAACTGCACGCCCAATCGGACGGGAAATGCACGCTTGCCCGGATGGGAACTGCACACTTGGCCAGATGAGAACTGCACGTTTAATTGGGCAGGAGCTGCACGCTCCGTCGCAAATGGTACTGCACGCTTAATCGGACGTGAACCGCACGCTCAACCGGACGGAAGCCACACGCTCGGCCGGACGGGACCTGTTCGCTTAACCGGACGGGAACTGCGCGCTCGGCCGCAAGGGTGTAACTTTCTCAAATCGGTTGGGAGGCTCAACCGAAAAGGTGGACTTAACCTACCCTTAAAACCCGATTCCTCCCCAGATTTAAGCCACTCGAATTTGCGTCCTCGAAGGTAGAATTTAAAGTACTTCTTCAATATTTTGGGGGTTTGAAACTGTTTCCTGCGGAAACAGAACTTTCCATTTCAAATTCATGTTAGCAGCCTTTTCGAGAAAAAAACTTAGAATAGGGTGTGAAAAATATCTAAGTAAATCTTAGTAAGTGATCACTGATGAGTACTGCTGTTATTCATTGTGTTCCATAACCACCACAGTCACGATTATGCGGCATATACACTTACCACTGTCGGGGAAAACATGCGTTAATTTTTATCCGAGCCACCCTGTACTTTTAAAGGCCGACACATACTGCAATCAAGTGTTGTTTATCCAAGTCCAGGCGTCATCATTTTTGATCTTCTTGGACATTTGCCGGCTGGCTAAGCATGTGAAGTAGTAAGCACGACAAAAATATTAGGTAGCCACATGATACTTTTGGGTACAAAATTAACACTACGAACAGTGTTGTGTTAAGCTATCTGCTTCCTGTATATCAATGGCTTAGATAATTGCTCTGCATTCACCTGGCCCAGTATCTTATCTTTGCTCAGAAGTATTGGCGGGCTCAGAGGAGGCTTGAGAGAGGCTCAAGTCAACGTTGGGGGCCTCATCCCCCTCCCGAAAGTATATAAAGTATTGGCGGGGCTCAGAGGAGGCTTGAGAGAGGCTCAAATCAACATTGGGGGCCTCATCCCCCTCCCGAGAGTATATAAAGTGGCGCCCCCGCCCGGCCGGACGGACACGGCACGCTTCACGGGACGACGTATACGCGCAGCGCAAAATCATCTGCCAAAAAACACTTGAATTTTCGGCAAAATTGACGCAAAGTGAGTACATGCATTAACTTGGCATGATCATCATGTTCTCTTTTTCTGTCAATTTTCAGTCAATTTGTGGGGGAAAAGATATGTTGCAGGCCAGTAGTCCTTGTTTATTGTTTGATAGTAATGCTGCCACCCATCAACCATTAAGTAACTCAAAATGTCATGCCATTGACACAGCCCCAACACCGTGCATACCTAGAGCTTGACTTCAAACACTCGTCTCCTTTGCAGACGAAATAAGTCAGATACAAAGTTTATCCTTGCAGCCGTCAACACGATGAGGTGGTCAAACTAATAAAAATCAAGGTTATTGGGCTAGACGTCACCCTTTCGCCCGTCTTAAGCAAAGAGAAGTCGATGTTGATTCGATTTGAGTCGATTACAATTTCTTTGCAAGACCGATGACGAGACGATTGAGTAAAAATTTTGCATTTCTTGCAATGGATTATGTAACACATTTCCAACTGGGCCTCAATGTAGTGAATTGGGGGGGGGGGGGGGGCAGCTACTAGCATGTGTACCGAATGTCTCGACGTATTTGAACTACTGATTTTTTAAATCAAGTCGGTGACCTAGGTGCAGCATCTTTGGTGTAACTATGCTGCCCTCCCCCTCTCACACTTGAGGTCGCGGGGGACTACTGAGTCGAAGGCCCTGCGCTTTTTAGCAGTTTAAAACGCCCGGAAGGTTTTTAAAGCATAAAAACACCAGACTCTGAGCCATAGGTGTAGCCACATCTCTGGGATCGGGATGGGAGACCAGTCATAGCTGGAGGCTCAACTGGAAATTGGAGGGGCCAACCTGACCTTAGAATGACTTTTTTGACGGGAAAATGGCGAGAATTACAAACTAATGGGTAAAATTGGAGGACACCGTGGCCCTTTGTGGACTCCTCCCCCACCGCCGTTACGCCCACGCTCTGAGACACCAAAATTCAGGCCCCTGTGACCAGATTTGGCCCCTTCCAAAATCAGGTGAAATCCTGGCTGCGCCCTTGTTCTGCATGAAAGCAAATGTTTCTAATCCAGGGTCCCTGGGGAATCCGTTGACAACGGCCAAAAGACATTGCATAATGATAAGATACGGGCTCGTAAACAGCAGCGTGGACCTATTGTCCGTCTTGTCTGTCCGTCCTAGTGCACTTATTTCGAAATGTGCTGAGTATCTCGAAACCCGTTGTCAGCCGCGCAAGGGTTTCGGTACAACTTGGGTGTATCTAATTGATCGGAATTGCGTTGTTAGCAATGCATGTTTTTCAAATCGGTATGGAATGTGCCGATTGCCTAAGTATAAGTGAGGTGCCAACCGCTACTGCTTTGCAAACCGCCGATTTCATCAAGCTTACTGGATCAAGCAGACTTTGCTCGCTTGCGACATTGAGCGGGCGTAAGTAGGAAGCAGGAGTTTCCTGCACGTCAGCCTACCTGGTCACCCTTCATCCTGTTCAGGAGTGTGACGCAGACCACGGCGCCGCGGATCCCAGCGTGGTGACACAGCGCCGCGAACATTAGCGACTCCATCTCCATGTTGATGACGCCTTCCTCATGGATTCGCCGCAGGAAGGCGAACTTGTCCTCTTCGGTGTAGTCACAAAAGGCACCATCCAGACGGCCTTGACCTTAGAATGCAAAGTGGGTATGGATTAAACGCAGTGGTTCACAACAACTAGCTGCGGAACATCAAGCCAGTTTTGCACTTTGCACCATTTGTTTACCTCCACGTCTATCATTTATTGCTCATTTCTATTCTTTTTCTCTTTCGTGAGTCCCACCCTAAAATGTGTTCAAAGCTTAACGCCACATCCGGTTAAATGCATTCGTTTAGCTTGTACCTTCGTAGAAATCCGTGGTGCACATCGTTTTTCCGACGAACGTCTGCCACTGGTCATCCGGGGTTGACAGCGCCTTCAGCTCCGCCGCCAGCCCCTTGTCCAGCAGCGCCGGGCGACGCTGCAACTTCCCCAGGATCGGCTGCAGAGAAAGCGGCTCACTTTGACGCAGCACCATAGTTCTGAGCTGCTGGACAGTGCACCACACCGTATATATATATATATATATATATATATATATATATATATATATATATATATATATATATATATATATATATATATATGTGTGTGTGTGTGTGTGTGTGTGTGTGTGTGTGTGTGTGCAATTATAAAAGTGCAGTCGAGAAGAGAAAATGCAACCTTAATCAATGATGGCGGAATTTTTGCCAAGATTGGGATCAAACGTCACTTCTATTGTGTTTGCCTTTAGTCACCGCAAAAGAGCTAATGCTACATGTTGCCGGAAGTTGAGGGAGGGGGAGGCGCAGCTTCCCCTGTTCCCAAATTCATCACCCGAGCCTATAGGGAGCATGATGGGTAGCGATGTTTCAGAATATACCTGGTTGCTGCAAAAAGCAATCAAGCACCAGATTGTTTGCGTTTTCGGTTCATCGCCCGCTCTCGCGCGCGCACGAGTCCTATTGTCAGGGGGATGGTGGGAAAGCCTATTTCAAATACCGCAACCTACATGTGATGCCTGCAGCCACACAAACGTAGCTGCATTTTCGCACGCGGTATATGATGCCTGAAATAACCAGTTTACGTCATGTGATATGACGATATATTTCCCTATCGTGTGAAGCTGATCACACGTCACCCATCACCCATCAATCATCAACGTAATTGTTGGTTTATTTGAAATTCAACATTTTTTTTAAATTAAACGCAGATGGGATTACATTAGAGAGAAGTGTTCCTGACCAGTGGTGGATGGGTACCTGCAGTCCGTGGATAGAGAGTGAAACACGCTTGCTTGTTATTCCTTCCAGAACCTAGAGTTGACGGGCTTACTCGCCAGCGTGGGAAAAATCTGCTCTCAGTGTACCATAGTGTCAGGTACAATGAACAGAGGACCCGTTATACATACAGGGATGAGACCATTAATCTGCTATCGTTATGGCTCAAAACCAAATTTTAAGAAACGTTATTGTCCGCTCACAGATAATAGCTAAAAAAAAAACGGGAAATTTCCTATTTACACCCCTGCATAACGGGTATTGTGGGCCCAAGGAGACCGTCATAAGTCAAACCTCGTTAAAATTATAGCCTGGTTGGTGCCACGGCAAGATGAGCAGTTTATCTCGGAGTTGCCTTACATTGGACGGCAGCGCAGTGCCAGCGTGAGTACATTGCTGGATGCCCGAACTTGACGTCTCTCAGCGAAGGGAGAAGTTCGGTGCAACATGACCATTGCAGTCGACGCGCCCGAAAACACCAATAAACAACAACAAAGCGAAGGGAGAGGCGCACGTCAGTCAGAAAGCAGATGGCATCGGCGAAAACTTGCACTGCGAAGCGACAAACAGGACACGGCAACATAACAAGGTCGCTCGTCGGTCGTCGCTCCCAGTGTGGCGGTGGAGTGACCGCTGACCGCAGTGTCGTGACTCCCAGGGAGGCGGTGGAGTGACCGCTGACCGCAGTGTCGTGACTCCCAGTGTGGCGGTGGAGTGACCGCTGACCGCAGTGTCGTGACGTGACGTGACTCGGGCCAGGCTGCCCCGGCTGACGGTGGTCACGCCGCCCTCTGTCACACGTCACGGGTCCATTCTCCGCCAAGGCCACGCGCCAGCTGACGTTCGTCGGTGCATACCTGCTCCAGGAAAGGCTGCAGCGTGCCGTCCACGGCGCTCTCGGTGATGACGAGGTTGCCGCCCTCGATGCCGATGCCGCCGCACGTGCCCAGCCGGAAGAAGATGGGGTCCTTCACCTTGGCGTGGTACATTAGCTTGATCATCTCGTGTAGGAGGATCCCGACAGAAGGCATGCCCATGCCGTGCTGAAATAGTAGTCGAGACGTAGCTGACCAGTGTGCGTGCGAACAACAGGTCATTATGTTTAGGCCCCAGGAGATGGCTAATTCATGGGTTGCTGATATCATCACGGATACGCGAATCGCCCCGCTGCTTATTTACGATCCAGCAAGCTTCCCTCAAGCAAAAGTAATTTGTCTGGTAGGCCAGAGAGTCTAAGTTACACAGGCAACACTTTCAAGAGGGCCTGGTTATCGGCATCGTGTTGACACCACTTCCGATATATATAGGTACTGCCCTAAAGCAGTGTAGGGTTTGCCCTGCACAGTCAGTATGTTATTCAACAAGACAAATATTTCCTGGCGGGCAGTGACCCAGGGCTTGCCAGCCACGCACAGTGGTCACTTGCATTGATCGAGCGCTAGGTTGGTAGCGAACATTTGTGCCTCTGTGACGTATGCATGGGCTTGACATGCCATGTCGTGACGTCACACGACGCAGTTCTACGGTCTGCAGGTACGTATCACAGGCGGACAACAGCCGGCGCGCGCTTGGACGTTATCAATGTGCACAAGCCGCAAGAAGCTGATGTTTGGTTGTAACACTTGTTCCGTCGACATAGAGCGTGGAAACTGAGGACATTATGGCATCAACATGAACACCCTGAACAGGAAACCATCAAACAAACCAACTGGCATTTTCGTCTGTCTAAGCCGGTTGAAGAGTGGCATTAAACAACACGCAATGCAGCTGGATATCGGCCTGTAGAGATTCTGTTTTGCCGTAGGAAGATTGCGCACCATTGTTACCGTGCGTACATCACACGTCATAATCAGAGCATGATCAGAGCTACTGGAGGCGCATAAATTGTCATCTCTTTCTAAATCAGTAATGGGACAAGCAAATGCATTTGCGTGGAGTATCCGCAGTACACGCAGCCCGCGATCGTTGGCTCATGCACATACACGAATAACAGGTCACAATTGTCGACCGAACACCGTTAATGAATCCGTAGCGTATGACACGGACCACCTTAATGCATGTTGTAATGACAAAAATCGGATGTGCATTGAAAAGGATTGCAAGTACCACTGATGACAATGTGTTAGCCTTGCCACGATTAGTGATACATTCGTATCAGAAATGGCTGGCTGATCTACTCACACTGACTGAGATCACGGGTCCAACTTTAAACATGGAGTATCGGTGAGAGTTATGCGAGATGTCCAGCAGCTGGGTCCCCGTAGGCAGAACGTGGCCGATCTCCTTCATGATGAAGTGAGCGAACTGTTCCATCCTCCGCGGAGTACCTCCCATGCAGACGAACTGAAAACGAGCCGCCGGCAATCAGGCGTGGAGGCCGAGGCACAATGAAAGCGAATGATGTCGGATAGAGTCGCATCGCATAAAAAGCGAAGGTGCCGTAGACAACGCATACCTACATGTCAGGTAAACTGCACTTGGAACAGAAACAGACTCAGAAAGCAAACATCTGCCAACAGGAGCAGACATGTCTGACGTTTGGATGCCTGCTCCATGTCCTACATGTGCGCACTATAGTTATGTTACGCATGCAGCGGGACGTGTGCAGCACTGGCAGCCGGGGCTGGCCGGCCACCGAGCCCACCTTGACGTCGCCGAACATGGCCTGCAGGTCGTGCGAGCCCGAACCCAGCGCCAGGTGGTATAAAATGTCCGACTCCATCTCGGCCAGGTGCGGGTTCCGAAGGCGAACTGTGCCGCTTTCATCCCTGCCGCCGGCGGCCGAGCAGTCAGCTGGCTGAACGGCGGCGGCGCCGCTGCTGGAGCCGCTCTGCCGCACTCGCCACACAACTGGCTGAACGGCGGCAGCGCCGCTGCTGCAGCTGCTCGGTCACACTTGCCACACAGTTGGCTGAACGACAGCGGCGCCGCTGCTGCACCTGCTCGGTCACACTTGCCACACAGCTGGCTGAACGGCGGCGGCGCCGCTGCTGCAGCCGCTCGGCCGCACTCGCCACACAGTTGGCTGAACGACAGCGGCGCCGCTGCCGCAGCCGCTCGGCTGCACTCGCCGCACAGCTGACGCCTCTGGACAGCGTGCGCCCTATTTCGATTGCGCGGTGCTGACAGCAAGCGCTGAATCGGTATTATCGGTATCGGTAAATATATCAGCGTTGGTATATTGGTGATGCTTGCGTGGCGAGTGGGCTCTATGGGCGTGAACAGCTCTCCGACTGCAACAAGACATCTATATTGGAATACTTGAACGATGATTGCTTACGCTGAATTCATTCATGCTGGTAATGGCTAAGTGGCATGCAAAAGAGTGCCTTTGAGAAGGGCGAAGTTTTGTACACGAGGAAAGGCTTGAAAAATGGATGTCAAATAGGGTCACTTTCTTCAATCACCATTCAATTCCAAGAAAAATACAATACTTTGATACGATAAGTGCCAACAAAAAAAAACATCTGGCGTTACCTGTCCCACCACCAAGAACTCTCCTAATTTTGGGCGAATAAAGCTCGGAACAGCAGCCTATCAAAAGATAGTTGAGCAACGAATAAACCAGATAGGATGAAACTCTAAATAGGTAGGGATTAGGTTAAAATCTTAGTAAATAGGAAAAATCGTAGAGTACTAAACAGCCCTGAGAAGAAAATGACTCAGAAAAATGTTACAACGGAGCAAGGCCAGACTTACGTCACGGCACACATTTTACGTATACATGTACAAATCTTGTATACAAAATCATAGTCTGCATGACACCAAGAAATACTTTATGTACAAGCAGCATTGCCCAACACACATAAACGCAAAATTCGCTGAGTGCTCCCTGAAAGAGAGGGACATTGTCCTGTCTGTTGCAGGACGGTCCGGGAAAAGTTCTCGAATAGCGTTGCAATGTGGCAAAGAAAGGCAATATCGGTATCAAGATTGCAAACTCAGTAGTATGTTTCCAAAAGACAGATAACGAAGTGTAGTTAAGGTGATTAACTTGCTTGCAATCAAATGCAGATGGTTTAATGGTAGTGTCCAGAATGTCGCCATGGGATACCTTGATCAGCCGGCGACAGACTCTCTGCCATAGAGAAATCGTTTTCGGAATCAAAACATTAAATTAAATTTAACCTTCATTAAACATCTTCGAAAACACACTGTTCGAACGAGGCAAGATAGAGGCACCACACACAAAATACCCAACACAGGTATCAGCGGTTGGAACACTAGAAGTTGAGATGCAAGAGGTCCCTCATCACTAGATTACTGATGTTGGCGCCTTGCAGTACATGCCCAACGTAAGCAGTTTTTGGTTTAACTGGTCGGTATACAATGTTTTTAACAATATAAAAGCGAGAGAAGAAGTGAGAGAGAGAGAGAGAGAGAGAGAGAGGAGAGATGAAGGAGAGAGGAGAGCAGAGAATGGGAGAGGAGAGAGAGGAGGGAGAGAGAGAGAGGATGAGAGGAGAGAGAGAGAGAGAGGAGAGAGAGGAGAGGAGAGAGAGAGAGAGGAGAGAGGGAAAAACTTTGCATGGACTGACGCACATACGCAGACATATATATGTGTATATATATATACATATATATATATATATATATATATATATAAGTATATAGGTCTGAACATATATATATATATATATATATATATATATATATCACTTATTTTCCAGAATATGAGACAAGTGTAAAATGAGGTGACCTCCAGTAATATCGCTCCATTTTTCGTAATTCAAGATGACATCGTTGCAAATTATGCAGGTAGACAGCAGCATTAATTCGTTTTTGCATCACCTCAGGCCTTTCACAGATCAGTGGCCTATGGTTGACCTGCATTCACTGCATTCAAGGTTTTACGAAAAACGTAAAAAAGTTGCACAGAATGCAAAGCAAGTATCTTATTTATACGTTTATTCGTTTACGGCATCATCCAAAGAATACGGAATTTCAGGTGGCCTTGGGAGGCCCCGACCGGGCCTACCGGGGCCTCCGGCCGGGCCTGCCGGACTAACGGACTCTCACCTCCGGGGCCATTGTGCACGCTTAAATGTCAAATTTCTGCATGCTGTGTCAAGTCCACATGGGGCCAATCAAACGTAACTTGCAAATCAACCTACGTGCTTTTAGGCTCGCGTCGTTCATCGGTATCGAGTGGCATTATGGCAAAAGCTTGCATGCAGCTAAAGACGGGGGGTTATTCGCGGTTTGCCCTTTCAGAGAGGCGAATGACGTGTTGACGCGCAGGTGCTGTTGAAAGTTTTCTTTGAGCCAAGAGCGAAGAACAGCCTGTGTCAGTATGTATGACGCCATACTAATTGTGAGTGTGATCGAATGCAAGGAATCGATATTCCTTGACCGTGTTAAATGACAAGATACTACATCAGTAAGATACAATATATAAGATAGCTGATGCCGGCATACCGTGAGTCGAAAAATCATTGGATTCAGTAACAGTTTGATTCCGATTGGCAACGACGCCCAACAAGTTGTTTTCAGAGACAAAGCCTAGTCAAGTTGCATGATATTTGTGACGTACAATGGAGCACTGTGTAGCTGCATGCATTTCAGAGCAACAAACGTTACCGCCCTTGCTATTTATCTGCGGCAATGCGCTGTTGGTACACAGGGTGCGCACATAGGCTTGTTCAGCGTGTGTGTTCGGTATGGTCACCGCGCGCCTGGTGCGGGTCGGTAAGGCCACTGTGTGCTTGGTGCGACTCGGTAAGGTCACCGTATGCCTGGTGCAGGTCGGTAAGGTCACCGCGTGCATGGTGCAGGCCGGTTAAGGTCACCGTGTGCCTGGTGCGGGTCGCTGAGGCCACCGCGTGCCTGGTGCGAGTCGGTAAGGTCACCGCATGCTTGGTGCGGGTCGTGTGCGTAGGTTACATAAATATGACTTACTATGTAGCAAGTAGCTTCACCATCACAAGGCACTTTGTGCATTAAAAGGACACAAACAAACGGCCGACTCTGAACATGCACCACACATTGACAAAGCGATTGACGCACTCACCTGTCGTCCCGTGGCACGGCGTCGCACTCCATGGCGGGCTGTCACGACCGCTGTCGCTCTCCGTCGTCGGGGGCTCTGCCTTCGTCGACGGGGGCTCACCTCACCTTCGTCTGACCCCGCGACCTCGGCGGCGGCTCCGGCGGGCGTCGACGCGGCGCGCGCAGACGCGTCTAGCCTGCACTCTATCGACGGACGGATGCTACGGCGCGATAACGCCGCCACGCCCGGACGGGTCTGGCTGATTCTACGCGACCCGCCCAACGGGCTGGAAACCGGTTCCACGGGGCGGAAATTGGCTTTCCCCGGGTCCTATCCTAACGGATACCTGTTTTTAGTGGAACAGTGCCTAATTAGAATTCAACAGTCGCCAGGCCAACCGCTTCAAGTGCGTTCAACAATCCAAGCGGCTAAGCGAGGAGCTAGGTTGGTGCAGTTGTGAGGGACTGAGGCTTTACGGCGCCCTCGGCGCTTAGGCTATTTTGTGTCGCCTCCTGTCATCATGGCATGCACAGTGCTGATTGTCAGGCCTTTTATTGTCTTAGAACTTTGATGAACTAAGGGTATAGGCTGAAGAAATGCCTATTGCTAATGTCATTTGATATAACAAATAAATTCTTAGTTGGATACATATGGTTTACTTGTTGCATGTAATGGAACTGCATGCAAACCATGCATTGCTAGTCAGGGTGCTGAGTATATGCTAGAAATTCCTAGAAACATTTTTAAAACTTTTGGTAACTTTGCAGTACATTAATCCATCGTGAAAACGACTGATGTCGCGCAACGCGTCCCGCACCGCCGGCCTTCATCACGCCACGCCATCCGAGGGCCGTGCGGGTCCGTAGCCCACCCAGGGGGCCCGGCCAACGGAAACACGCTGAGCAATCGCGGGCCTCCCTGGCTCTATTTCGTTCACAACGCATATTGCGCAATTACGCGGTCAGTGCAGTGATATGATCAGATAGCCGGTGATCAGATCAGAGTGGAGGATCAGATCAGATCAGATCGGGTGTGAGTGGGGGTGAGGGTTAATCCGACCACCTGTAAACATTTTCTACAAATAACCTCATTATCGTGCAGCGAAAGCAGCGCAAAACTTTGCATATCTGCAGGCAACTAACTTGTGGACCATTTGCATCAAAGATAAATATACCTCGTAAGGGGGCTGGCCCACAGCTATGGCCATGGCTGTCAAAGAGAGAGTAGCGGCACGAGGTCAAAACTCAGCCGTGGGCAACTGCCACATTTTCTCTTTCGTCGCCGAAGACAGTGGACGTGCGCGACAAGAACATTTCCTTGTAAATTGCTTAAACCTTGGTGCGACAATGGGGTGTTGGATGAGCCCATACAACTTTGAGATGTTTCCTTCGACAATTAGACAATGAAACTTAGATTACGACTAATTCCCTTGACCTTCGGTCAGGCATGAAGTTTTGAGGGACGTCCAAACCTGATTTGTTTATTACTGGGAAACTGGCTTTATGGGCAGTTGTGAACGCTTATTTGGAACTTCTTGGTACCAGGAACGTCAACAGACATTTTACCTTTACTGCATGGAGGCCGGGGAAGGCACTGTCATGAAATGATGTAGATCAACCTTCGCTTTGAAGCACATGTCACCTAGAGTAGCTTTTGGTGCCGATTTTTAATTCAACCATCAAAACAGTCTCAAAGGATTTCGGTCATCTTCACGTTAAGGTCAAACAAGGTCACTGAGCTGATCTGAGTACCAGTAGCCTTTTTATTTGGAAAGGTGTCTGAATCAAAGCTCAGGGAGTTTTAATCCTCCCGCCCACCAATTGCCTCTCCAGCAAGAGGCATCATGCAAAACCACCCATGGTTCCACTCTCAAAACAAACAAGTGTCTACTTCGGCCTCTGGAAGTCCGATCCGGCCACCATCGCCGCTGGCCTGTCGCCCATGATCTGCCTCGGGCGAACGGTTGCTGAGAGCTGACCACGGTCGGCGACTGGCTGACACTCGCAATGCACACTGTGTCAGTGAAGTCCGGTGTCCAAGTATTGGCATCAGCTTAACGAACGCCTGGCGCTGATATGGTATTCGCTGGTCCAGTCAATCTGCCCCGCTCAAAAAACATCGAACCAGCACAGCGGTACGGTGCTGCCCTGCGTAGCTGGAGTATAAAAAAACAGCGCCATACTCATATAATTTCCATTAACAAACATTTCTAGCCTATATCAAACATCAACATCAAGATCAACATTGCAATTATCGTTCCGCGCGACGGGCATCCTATATACAACCAGTGGTGAACACCCGTAATCGCATGACGGAACATCCCTCTGCCTTACTTGTTTTCAATCTCCACGATGCACATGGATAATGACCGTGGCCGGTTGCTATTGCCATTGCCAGCGGCAGTGTTTGTGGCATCACAGCTCAATATCATCCCAGACCTCGACCTTCTGGGTACCGCCTGTGCTGCCCCTGAGCTTCTGTCGGAATGGCGGCAAAGTTAGCCACCGTTTCCCCCGTGCTGCTAGCACCTGTTAACATAGCACGCTGAACAGCTCCTGTGTGCTCCTTGACGCGGGGTGGGTTCCGTTGGCGGCCCACCGGTGGCAGCATCGACCGCACCACCGCTTGCAGGCCGCCTCCGTCGCCCGCTCGCTTGCCCCCTCGGCCGAAGGTCGTCCTGGGGCTGATGGCGACTGCCCGCGGCCGTGAGAGGTCACCGGTCGTGACGCCCGCGGCAGGACCAGGGTCACCCGGTCACCACCACGAGCACGCCGGGGCTCACCCGGTCATCACCCACGGGCACGCCGGGGGTTTCACGCGGTCACCGGTCGCGGGCAGCCGGGGGTCACCCGGTCGCGGCCGCTGGCACGCCGGGGGTCACCCGGTCACCCGGCCGCAGGCAGCGCCCGAGGTCGCTCGGTAACCGCCCAGGTGGATGGCGGCCCGGACCGGACAGGCCCGACGGTGTCCGCGCGACGGCCCGCGCCCGCTGCCGCTGACGGGCACGCCTCGGGTTCCGACTCACCCAGACGCGCGTTCATCCCTGGGCGTCGGCAGCTCGCAATCCGGTGCAAACGCCTCGTTGTCGGCTCCGCCCTTCGGAGGGGACAGCATGTCTCAGTATGACCTATGCATCCGAGAGGGCCTGTGGTTTTAGTACACGGCAGCAGGTCTACTGTGTGACGTGCAGAGCGCCATTACCGGTTTTCGGTGTAGATTAAAGTCAGTAACACGCACATTTTGTCACTGATTAGTGTCGATGAGTCAAAGACCAATAACCTCCGAAGCATCAAAAATAAGCATTCATAGACAACAAAACTTGAAACCGGAAACTTCATGATTGTTAACTCTATGATTTGAATTCATGACATAAAGCTCAAAAGCTATACAATTCAAAGCCTTCAACTTTGAAAATCTAACTTGACTTTCGCCATAGTTCGCCGTTTTTTCATAACGCGAGCGAATAGAGAAGGGGTCGATGAAGCCTCCGCCGTCTCCAAACTAAGAGTGCTTAAGCCTTGCAGAAAAACCGTGGACCTGCCAGGGTGCAGCGCAGCAGAGTGGCAGGTTGGCACTGCCCAGGCCTTTGTAGAGCGGATGACGTCATGGGTAAGATTTGCCTTGCTAGATCCATCCACTGCCCTTTGGGCTGTGCCCACACAACAGATCTTCACGGGAAAATTACCGACCAGATTTATCCACTACCCATGGGGTTGTCTCCACGCCCAACAGGCCTCACGGGAAGACTTCCCTTGACACAATCCACCCGTTAGCCATGAGACGGTACCCATACCCGGCCGTTCACCATCCGTGACAAGCTATGCCCACTTGTTGCCCACTCACTTGCATTTCCAGATATTTAAGCAATTCCAAAAGTGGCACGAATAGAGCTAGTTATCTCTGAATAAAGTGCTAATTGCAACATCATGTAATATTTCTTGGAGAACCAGCCCGCCATTTCGCAAGCTTCTTGCACATTTCAGTATCCATACTTTTACCGAAATCCATACCAACTCACTATGCCACCCATGTCACATGGCTACCTATGGGCTTACCCTTCCCAGGCCATTAACGAATGCAGTTGACCCCCTTAAAGCTCAATAACTAAGGTTTACCGTTCCCGCCGCTGCCCATTTCTGATCAGACCTATCTATATGCTATCCAGCCGTTTGCTTTTTGTACGTGCGATGTCCCTAAAAAATCGTCCTTTCTCGGAATCTAAAAATGCTAGCGACAGTTGATGGTGATGCCAGCTAGTGCTAGCGAATGCTAGAGAGAGTTTTTTTTTGCCAGCGCGCTCCCGGGCGGCCGGTTGAAAACGGCGCCGTTTGAAGGGAAGGGGTGAACTTGACCCCTTCAGATCTCAAAAACCTAGGAGAGCTAGAGACACCATATTCACAGGACGTGAGTATCGGTATGTGAGCTCATTTGTATCAAATTTTTGGGTCCCTAGGCAACACCCGTAAAAGACAACCTTGGGTAGAATAAGGTAAAACAAGGTTGTACCCCAGATCGGTGTCTGAAGTTCTCTCAGACCTCCTTATGCAACCACCTTTAGCCTGGATACCTCTAGTAAGCAAAATATCAGTGGTGTTCGTTTCAAACCGGTGACCTTATCTCACCTTCAGAGGGTCACGTTGACCAAAATCTACGGCATTGTTTCGTTTTTTCTCATTTTGAAAAGCGTCAAGGAGCGCGCTAGGTCGCATGTTTCTAAAAAACCGAGTGTTGATCTATATCTGGTTATTCTAGATCATGATCTCTTCTGACCTTAATGAAGCTCAAATAAGAAACTCGTTGGCGTTCGTGTGATCGATAAAATCGAAATGAGCTGTCAAAAAGTAAACCACGAAGCAGCGTCTGTAGTAAAAAGAGCACTGATTTTGACTTCGTGACACCTCACCCTGACGTTTCTGTCTGATCCGAGGTCAATGGAGCTAGGCATAATTCCGAGTTCAATTGTCTAGTTGTCAAAAGAAAATCAGACATGCATGGCTTTGTCGAAGACTTCGGCGCCGCGACAGATTGAATTATTTCCTCGGCGTTGCCTTCATGAATAGTCACGTCCTGACTTTGACCTGCCCTGGTCAGCGGCCGTGCAAGGTATGT